TCAGATTTTTCTGAAATCTACCTGCTCATCATTTCTTATAGCACGATAGTATTCCATTACATTCATATACTTCAACTTGTTTAGCCATTCCCCAATGGATGGGCATCCCCTCAAGAGAACAGTAATCTTAATAGCATGTTGCCCGGGTGTATTGAGTTGGTCAGTTGGAGTGTTTTAGAATTAAATTTTTTGAATCATAAGCAATATGAAAACATGAAAAGGAACTGAAATTATTTTTTGTTTTGTTTTGATCTTTAGTGCTGTCTTTTCCAGTCATTTTCCCCAAACATGCCACTGCTTTCAGGCCTTAGCCTGAAAATGTTCTATTTGTCTCTGTACTATTTTTCAGCTTATTTTAAACTGATATCATCTCTGAGCAGAACTGGGTGCTGTATCAAAGCCAAGTACATGAGGAACAAAATATTCTTGAGTAAAAGCCTGTGCTAGGGGCCCAGGGATTCTAGCATCATTGGCCTCAGTTTGTAGCTGACAAGAGTAGATTGTACAATTATTGTATGAATGATCCTGACCCATTCAGGAACCCACATTTCACTTAGAGACCAGCCTCTTGTGTTGGATTCAAAGGAAAGGCTCATGAAAGGGACTGCTCTAGTTGATATTAAATTTTTCATAGTTTGGAAAGTAGCATTGCATGTTCCTTTCAAACAAGGAATACTGTAAGAGGGCGATTATTGTATTACCTGCACCTGCATAGATTCACACACAAAGAAAAAAAGGCTCATTTCTTCACATATCAAAAACTCTGAAACAAATATAACCTCTCGATGCCTTCTCTAAGCTCCCTATACAATGGGAACCATACATCAGATTCTTAGCAGTGCACATTAAACAGACTATCTGCCGTCTTCAGATTTGCAAAAGAGGAAGTAATGCTCAACTTTATTGGAAACAGGGGGCCTGACCTGGAGCCCTTTAGCACCATCATTGAGCAGTGTTTCACTGGCCTCTCCTAGAGAACATCAGAAAGACACTTTAACTTTGTCATGGGAAGACTGAATGGCACAAGAGATGCATCAAAGCATCCAGAGAGCCTGGGAAACATACACACACAAGCACAGTGGGGAGAGCCTGAGCACCAGGTTCTTTAAAGGAAAAAAATATCATAAGAAGTTAATAGTCATGGTATCAATTTATAAAAAGTCATATTATAAACCATTCTTCATCATGCCCCCCCACAACATACACACATCCCCTGTATGTTATGCTTAGCTCTGGCTCTACCAGGAACTGAAATCATGCCGTGGACAGGAATCCTTTCAGTCACTGGGGATACAGAGTTGGGACACTTCAGTCAGGAAATGAGGACTACTGTGTTATATTAGAAAGAAAGAATATTGGAAGTCAGGAGATCTAGGTTCTAGTTCCAGATTTTTTAACTCTGTAGTTGTGTTTTCCTCATATGTAAAGAGCAGATCATTTCTAAGGTCCCTTATAGCTCTAGCTATAATTATATATGGAGAAATCAAGAAGTTCTCCATATGTGTTTGACCAAGGGAAAGAAGGTGATTGTCCTGACTGTCTAGGCAAAGAATCAAAAGGAAAAGAATGTGGAGCCTTGGATGTTGACACAGACAACACACTAAGTTGACCAACAAAAAAAATGGAATATTTATGCCAGGTATATGTAGAAAAGGCAAGTCAAGTACCTGACAATGAGAGACAGACAGACAGACAGAGGGAGAGAGAGAGAGAGAGAGAGAGAGTAATAGAAGTAGCATTACAGAGAGTTGCCTAATCTTAACATCTGTAGAAGATAGGAAAGAGGAAGGAAGAGTAAAGGACATAAAAAATGTGAGGGTGTATATTTGTAATGGGACATTGCTTTTTTAAGTGTTAATGTTTGAATGTCTCTGGAAAGACTAGCTTCAGCAATTAAACTGCTGAGTATTTTAATCAAATAAAACACAGATATAAAAGACAAGGATGTATTCAGAGAAGTCTAGATTACATGTACACAGCCCCTTGTTTTTCTTTGCAATATTTGAAAACTATCTCCAAAGAGTTTGCAAAAACTCATAGAATTTTGAAGTTAGAATATATCTTAAAGATTATCTAATCCAGTCTTCTCATTTTTCAGAAGAGGGAAAGTATATTTAAACAACTTCAACTGATGTCTTCCTTTTCAAGCTGGCAAAATCATTGAAAACGTATTGTTTTACCAAATGATTGAGTTTTTCCTTCTTGTCATACAATTTTATTATTAAAAAATTCCATTTAATTCAGTCTGTGTCTATTAAGCACCTACTACGTACCAGGTATTGTTAGGGGCTGGGGATAAAAAGACAAAAATGAAATGGTTCCTGTACTCAAGGAGTACATAAGACTAAGCAGAAGCCTATGGTTACACATGCCATTTATCAAGAGGCCAATGCACATCTCTCTCTTTTTGAATAATATTTTTTCCCAATTACATGTAAAAACAATTTTTAACATTCATTTTTTAAAATATTGTGTCCCAAATTCTCTTCATTCCTCCACAACCCTCGCCAAGATGGCAAACAATTTGGAGGTTATACATGTACAGTCATGCAAAACATATTTCCAAATTAGTCATGTTGCAAAGCACATCTCTTGTTTGGAGGTAGTCAGTGCACAAGCTCAGGGATGAGCTGCTTCATGGGTTGGCCAACGAAGGCTCATCCCCAAGCATGCTCCATAGGCTCCAACTCTTCTAATACAATAATAACCTACCCATGATTGATAAAATTAAGAACGATATTTTAATAGTGATCATGAAACCAAATGATCATAATCTCTATATTTTCAGTGAGCCCACAGAAGATGGAATTGAATGGAAGAACATGTGTTTAGTACTTACTCTGTGCCAAGCACCATGCTAAGTACTGGGAATGCATGAAGAAAAGCAAGACAGTCCCTGTTCTTAAAGAGCTCATATTTGAATTAGGGGAGGTAATACCTAAAGGAGGGTTCAGCTGTAGTGAGGTTACAAAGTCTCATCAGTAAGATACTTAGGATTAATGAGCCTTCACTTTCCAGCATTCAGAATCTAACCATCCTCTGGCAAGAGGTCAAGCTGTAGGTTTGTTTCTTCCAAGAGCAGACCTGATTGAAATATCATGTAGGGAAGTCAGATGAACTATTACAACCACTCTGCGACATACAGTGATCCTGGGAAGAGGTAAAGTTAGAATTCACTACAAAGCTGACATTCCTCCATGGGCATGATGCTACCAACACTGATGGTGAGGAATCCTCACAGAAAATATAAATTTATTTCACAATACTGTTCAATTATAAAAAAGCGATAATTTTTTATCCATTTGGGTAATTTCCGCAGAACATTAAACATAAAAGAACAAGAGGATAGTAACTTGACCTGGGACCATTTCTCTTTGAATTCCATTGAACAAATGGAAAGAATGAGCTGATAATAGCTAGTGAGAAACAGTGTAGCATAGAAGATAAAAGGTAGACATTGGAGTCAGGAAGACATGTCCTTACATCCTGCTTCTCACACGTATAAATGTGCGATCATGGGAAAGTCATTCAACCTCTATGTGCCAAAAGCCACTCCAATCCAATGTAAAAACCACCTACTTTGTACAAGACACTGTGTTAGGAACTAAGATCACTAAAACAAAACAAACTTTCACTGTTCTAAAGGAGCTTGTTTTCTACTGCAGGAACATACATTTGCAAACAGATGTCTACGCTCTGTAATTTGAGGACCAAGAGAACACTAACTAGTATGGTCAGGAAAAGGCTTTCTTAGGTGGTACATGAGCTGATTCTTGATTGAAATTAGGGATTGTTAAATGCTGGAACGTGAGTTGGGAATACATTCCGGACATGGCAGACAGTCTGTACAATGGCATAAAGTCAAGAAATGGAATGATATCCTAAGACTTATTTGCTGAGTCATAGATGACTTGCAATTTGCATTAGTGGACAGCACTCCCATACCAGGAGTCCCGTATACTAACAAAAATCGCAGGTCTTTTGCTTTGTTGGCTTTTAAAAATCTTAGATGCTTAAGCAGAAATCTTATACAATGAGGCTCAGTTTTAAGCAGTGAAATATCAAGCCAATGAACTCTTTAAATTCCTCCTGCCCTGCTTGGCCTCCATCCAAATGAGAGCACCCATTTAGTTGAAAGTTAGGGCTTAGCATATAGTGGTCTGAGTTTCTGCTATATGCAACTGTATCTTCTTAAATTATTTTTCTTTCTGGGTCACAGTTTTCATAGGTCCAGTAGTTGGCTTCTAGCAAATATCAAAGTCCTAACATTACCATAGTTAAGGAGGAACCTAAATTGAGTGACATGAAGCTATAATCTTGGTAGCACTTTTTTACAATTACTGTTACAATGGATAATTGACAAAAAATCCCACTGTATTCTCATATCCCTTACCATGTTGCCACCTTGATATTTTGTCAAATAAAAGAAGATTATATTCTATGTAGATCAATTTCAAACTAAAGTCCTGCCCCTAAGCTATTGTGGAAGATTACATGTGACTTTAATTCTTACTGTGCTGATAGATGATAGTATTGGTTTTTTGTTAGTTCTTGCGTTCTAACCTTGCAGAGTGAACCATAAAATTTAACACATTCGACTCTGGGCATTAAATGGCTGGAACAATTTATAAGCAAAATATTCAATTATTTTAAAAAGTAGCTTAATAAATTCATCTTCCAAAGTTGACGAAAATTGCAAAGCTGGTTTACAGAAACCATCACACCTCGGTGAAGGCTGACAGCATTTATCTTTAGTACTGGATGGCTTTCATGTTGCATCAGGGTTTGTGCATTTGAAAAATAGGGGCAGCTCTGCTATCAGGTGAGATAGGTTTGAACACAGAGCTGCCTGTCCGTAAAATCCTGAAATTGTGCATAACTATAGATAATGTTGATGTGTCTTCACCAGATATCTGAAATGATACATTTTCTAAATTGGATGCATTAAGTAATTACTAAGATCAATGTTGAAAGCCTGTAATTTTCTTTCTTCCTCATAGGCTCAGCGCCATGTTACATTCCACCTTCCAGAAAGCCCTCAGGAGAGCGGCAGTGACAATGTACCTATCGAGGCAGAAGCCGGTGCCATTGCTATTGCCAGGCCTGGCTATGCCCGGAGAGACTACTATGAACACTCAACTACCCGCAGCAACTGGAGTGAAGCAGATGGCAACTCTGACCCCGAAACTGGTAAGTGACTCTATGCTCCCAAGATACATGATTTCACTATATGAATGTCAAAATGCAGAGAATTATAGAGTCACTGGAAGTTCACCATTTGAATGGGAGAGACACACAGGTAAAAAGTGAAAATATAATGCCAATTATAATGGTAATCTGATGCTGATGATAATGCTGATGAATGATAATAATGGATCTTTCAAAGTATCACTGTGGTAAAAAGCCCTTCAGTATATCCATTAAACAAACAAACATGGCAACCAAACCAATGATATCAGTAAAGATTTGCCTAGATAAATGCCTATTCCTCATGGCTCCATGGGACGTCGGGAGCTTGGTCCCAAGACACTGCATTTAGAGAGCCGTGGCAGCAGTTGTATAGAATCCACAGAGCTTTGATATGTGTTAACAAGGATAATTAGCTAAAATATGAAGCCACCAGATGGCAGCCTGGGGTAAGCACCGACCCATCTGTGTGCACACAACCTGTGTGCAATAGCCCCTCACCTGAGGGCGTTTTGATGACCTACCCTCATCCTGGGCTTAGTTCGTATGTGGCACTTGTCCCAGGACAAGCTTTATGGCTTTTTAATTAATCTTATGATACTAACCTATTACCAGCGGTATCTATTTGAGGATTATAATTTAAAAATACTTCAAAGGACCATGCGATGACAATTGACACATCGTATTTGCACATACTAGAAATGTAGGATGCAGATTTTTATTTCAAAGTAAAATGATAGTGTCTGCTTGAACTTATTTATATTAAAGTATATTTGCATAGATAGTGGAACTTATAGTAAATTGTAGTAAAATTATTAAACAGTATTTTAGAAATATTTTAAAATTCTTGCATCAATTAACACACCTCAGTCCTTCATATCCCAGCCAGTATTTTGCAGTCATCTTTCTTCTGAACGACTATTTATTTTGCAGTGATGATGAGACATATAATCAAGTGCCATAAAACAGTTCCCTTTTTGGTGCTTTGGAGATTATTTATAACCATCTATAAATGCACACTGTGCCCTATCTTGCTGCTTAAAAATATGCTCGGATTTGGTCTATACATAGGCTGGCATGAAGGCTAACATCTCCTATTGAAGGAATGGGAAAGGAAGGAAGAGAAAGGAAATGTGTTTGAATGTCAGCCCTCTGAATGAATGTCATATCTGACCTGATTTCTATTTTCTCATAGTGCTGCCTTCATTTGCATTATTGTGGTTGTTTTGCATATTTATTTTTTTTGGTTCTGCATCAGTTCATGTAGATTTTCTAATGCTTCTCTGATTTTTTTGCGTGTTGACCATTCCTAATGGCATAGTGATATTCTATTATATTCATATACCATAATTTTTTGGTGATTCCCCAATCCTTGGGCATATAATTTGTCTCCAGCTTTCTACTGTGACAAATAGTGCTCTTATCAATAGTTCAGCATATATGGGACTTTTCTTTTTGACTTGACCTTCATTTAGTAGTAGGATCACTGGGGTTAAAAGGAGTGAACATTTTCATAACCTTAAAAGATGAACAAGAGATGCCTAATAAAATTTCAGGGGGCAAATTACATACCAAGTACTTGTGGCTCGGGATAACATTTTGAGAGATGCAGAGTTGGCAAAGTATGTAGAGTTTTTTGGATTTCTGAAGCTACTTTTCCCCCAAAGTACATTTTTTACCTTCATAATTGATGTCTGTTTATAGACCAGTAGTGACAGTGCCTTATTCTTCCCACTACTGTGGCTGTCCGATATTCCTTGAGCACCGTTAGTAAACATGGTGCCATCCCGATAACACAGAACCTGCTGAAGGCGGGCACACACAAAGTTATCGCTATGCTGGGCATCCTCAACAAATGTTGAAAGCAGAGGATTGAAATGAGTAGGAGTGAGGTGCATGAACAACTAAATCAAGTACCTATGTTTGAAATCAAAACAGTCCCTCCACCGTCTCCTCTGCATACCCTGGTTTTGAAACCTAACAAAATCAAGACAGGTTGCATAAACATCACAGAGAACTACCTGACATCTGTATATCATCACAGCTTTGTACTTGCAGGTTTACTACATGGTTATTAAATGCTCTTAGAGTATGAAGTTCAGAAAATCCCAATTATCTGTAACCATTTATGCTTGACACCCAGATAGTTAACATCTGTTGTGAAAATTATAATTTTCTCCAGTAGGCATCAAAAAGGAAACTTTCTCAGCTTAGCTGTCAAACAGTGCAATGAGGTATTGTGCTATAGCTGAACTCCAGTTACTTTTAGATCTGGTATGGTCTCAGCATGAGTTGCATACAAGTTTATTACTTCAGGTAATGAAGAGTTAATTATCTTTGTTATTTCGTATCATGCAATCTATCAGCCTCATTTTTATCTTCTCTGCCATCATCCTATCAACCAACCAACAGTGTTATAATCAAAGATGCATCTTTCTTTAGCACCATATAAAATAGATCCATCTTCTATGTATGATCATTGTCAGCTATCTTTGATAATCAGACGGTGAGCAATGTTGAGATAAGGCCTAAGCTACACAGTAGAATTCCCAAGTAGAGAGCTAATCCCACAGAGAGCAAAAGCTGATTTCACCTACAATGGCCTCTCCAATGAAATACGGCCAGTGTGGGAGACAGTGGCATGGTCAAATTTCCTAATCAGGATTCAGTGCAAGGGAGCAAGGTCAATGGGAATTATTGAAAAATCTGAATTATAAAATATTTTGAAAGAAAGTCAATTTGAATTACCCTCAGTGTCCATCAGTGATTTAACTTAAGCATTGGCCCTCCCTTTGAGGCTCTGCTTTAACAAACATATTAGAATCATTTTAATTAATGTAATACTTGTATATTAAGAATAAAATGTATGTGTGTTTAAAGTGCTTTGTTGAATAAGCTTTTTCCACACCATTCACAATGGAATTTGTTTCTCAGGAAACTTTTTTTCCCAATAGAAAATATAAAGGTTAATATTAATCCTAATTGAAGGCAAATTGCAAATTAGCAGGTTCTTTATGACTGATATTCTACTATATAAGCCATCTGGTTCCATGTAATAATTATGAGGATGAAATGATAGAATTATTACCAGTTGGCATTTTCCCAAACTTATCAAAAGAAAAAAAAGTATCCAAAGAGAGTAGATAGGTTTATGTGAGCTATGATAATTACTTGTCAATGTCATTGTCTAAAGTGCTTATAAAAGATTGAGGACAAATGATTGGAATGATTTTTTTAGATAAAAACTAAAAATATGCCACTTTTTGCTTGCTACATTGGAAGTTAACTATCACATGACAAAAGATGAACACCATATAAAGTAAAATTAGACCTTGGCCAAGGGAGCTTATTATCGCAAGTACAGGATGAACCCATTTCACTTCTGATGGGCTCTGGTCACATGCGACCAAAGGATGACATGTAGTTGAGATGTCAGCCTAAGACTTTTCTGGGTGTTGCTGATGTTGTTCAACAATAGAAAATAATCATTAATGAGATTATCCCAGATTAAATCTCCTTTTGCTAGGAATGAGGACTTAAGGTCCTTTTGTTCTGGAAAAAACCTCTCTGGGGCACTAGCCCCGGGTGTTTGTGGTTGGGAGCAGATGCCAGCAAGCTGTGCGGTGTTAGGGTGTTAGTCAATCGCACCACAAATGGGAATGTAAACTGTTAGAGGCAGTTATTGCTGTCCTTGAGCAATTGAACTAAATTATGCAGCTCCATTTTCATATTTTGAAATGTATCACATCCTCAATCTGGTTTTTTTTTTCTGCTAATGAATTGCCTTGTAATAGTACATTGTACTGAAAATTGCCTTCTTGTGAGCTCACAGATTGAGGTGTCAACACAACTTTTTATGAATAAGATTTTTTTTTCAAATTGCCAGAGGGATTTAGAAATATTACTTTTAAAACATAAGAACCTGGTTTGTTAAAACCTATCGTAACTAGATAAAAGAATTTCTGTGATCTGTACTCCAGTGTACGTTTGGATAAACATAAATAGTCCAGCTGTAGGTCAAATTTGTCTTTCATTTCCTGAAAGCAAAGTACACACTCTGAATACCATGAGCTGGTCTTTCTGGATGCTTAGGTAATTTGCACATTAGCCAACTGGATGAGTGTAGCTTCTGTTATCAAGATAGGCAGAGACAGTTATTTAGAGATATGAGATCAGAGCTGACCCTAGATACAGTTGCAAAGCTGTAAATTCGTGTTTAACCTCCCCCCAACTTCTCCTCTAATAACCAAAGCCCTCCTCTTGCCCCATATCTCTCCAGAGTTCTACGTGTTTGAGTCCCCCCCCCCCCGCCCCTTTGCCCTGGCCAGGTCTAGACCTTCCTTCCTGCTACATAGCTGCTATTGAAATATGCCTAGCTGTGTCCAATCCATGTTCTCTCGGTCCTGTTCTACAACACTAGCTGCCTGATAAATTAACTCATGCTAAAGCCCTATTAGTAGGTGCCCATGAGTTAGTGTGTTACCTCACTCAGGTAAAAACATTTGAAATTTAAAGAGGCTCTATCATTTAGAAGTTCAGATATCATAGAGATTTGTTAGGGCAGCAAGGGCCTTTTAACAACATTCAGATCAAACCAGATCTGAGTTTTATAGAAGGGATCAGAAAGAGCAGAGAAGGCAGCATTATGGATTGGATGGAGAACCAGGCAGGATGACCTGGATTCCAATCCTACTTCTGATGCATATCTTGAGGCCCTAGGCAAGTCACTTAACTTCACAGTGTCCCCAGGCAAATCAGTGAGTTGCAGAGAAGATGCTAATTTGTATTGGTAGAGTTTTCTTATTCAGGAGTTTCCTATACTAAGGAAATCACAAAATTATAGTGTATTACAACTCACATTTAATGTTTTTCTTTAAAGATGGACTTAGAAAGTTACTTTTTCCAGGTCCACCTCGAGAAGGTTTTTCCCTCATTGTTACCCAGAAAGTTTACACATTATTGGGTATCTGAGCCACCCAATTCTGAGATTCATGTATCAGATG